TTTTTAATATTTAAAAAACTTTTTTTAAACAATATTTTTTGAAAGACAATAGCGAAGCATTTTTGTGGTAACTTACGCAGGTGGAAAGAGGTTTAATGGACATAAATAAGTGTCATGGCAACTCAGCTTTCTGAGGTATTTTTGGGTGAGCGTTCTTTGAGCTAGTCCTTTCTCTCCTTTCTAAAAAGGTTACATTACTACCTTAGAACTTTTTTTTTTTTTAAAACTTATACAAAGAAAATGCATAGTTTTCACTCAAAAATATCACTAAATAAAGAAGTATTTAAGAACAGACCATACAAACTTACCATACGGATTTGCATTAATATTAGTCCCAATAAGCTCCAACGTTTGTTCTAAAATTTCTGATAATGGCACCGCACTGATTTCCAGAAGCCCTGGGTCAGACTTTTTTTTTTTTTAAAACTTATACAAAGAAAATGCATAGTTTTCACTCAAAAATATCACTAAATAAAGAAGTATTTAAGAACAGACCATACAAACTTACCATACGGATTTGCATTAATATTAGTCCCAATAAGCTCCAACGTTTGTTCTAAAATTTCTGATAATGGCACCGCACTGATTTCCAGAAGCCCTGGGTCAGCGTGGTGTTTCAAGACCAGCGCTATTTCAGCCTCATAATTTACAACAGATGAGTGCCAGCAATACTGCTTACTGTTTTTCTCCACAGGCACCCAACCTATGAGAAAACATTGCATTTTACCAAAGTAAATATCTGAAGGTATTAAATGTGTACTAGAACTGTACACACATGAAAAAAACCACACACAAAAAAACCACGGTTAACTACAAACAGAAAGAGTAACAAGAAAAACTGCGTTGTATTTCAGAGAAATGTCAGAGGAATGCAAACATGACAACTGTGCCTTTGGCTGAAGCCCTGCAAGTCTGTACAAGAAACTGCAATTACTGTCAATGTGTCAGAAGAACAAAACCTTTCTGGATAGGGAAGGAATGACGTTCCAATTGTTTTCTGAATACGTTAACTACTACTTTTAACTCTGGAACTAATTCTAACTCACTTAAAAAATGGATTCTCCCCCATTTTACCTGTGCTGCATCATAGGTACCTGGCATATGGCCATTTTCATCAGGCAAAGGATTGCCGTTAGAGAACTCGATGTCCTTTGCTGGAATCCAGGTATCCGGAACAGGCTTGAAATCCTCTTCAACATTCCAAACAAATTCTAGGCATATAAATGTGACATTTAGGTTTTGGCAAACTGTTAGCCAATTTTGTATTTTGTCTTTCAATGCAAGTATTAAAATACAATCGAGCTAAACCTTGTTTTACGGACAGTAGTCCCAGTTACTTTGTACAAGCACCACTATCTGGCACACTCAAGCAGTCTACAATTAGGAGGGTTTAAAGAAGCACAGTAGTCTTTTAAGTAGTTTAAAAGCTCAAAACTAACTAAGATTTAAAAATAGCTACCTAAATAGCCAGCATTATATTTAAACTAGAGCAAGAGAAGTAGAATAGAACAGAACAGACTATTTCA